CACTACCCCCACTACTACTACCCTACACTACCTCCCCTCTTCCTGCCTATAATTTGCCTCCTGCCCTCCTCTGTTATGTGACTTTGTCAAAGGTCCAAGTCGGCCGAAAAGGGGGTCGTAAGTTCTGTTTTTAAAGTGCGGGTTGTTTGGGGGGGGTTTTATTAGGTACACCCTTTCCGTACTGGGTACAACCCCTCTTTGCCCCCCAAAAAAAACCCCGAAAATTCATGGAATGGATCAACAAGGGCTGGAAACATTCCTAGAGATCCTGGTTCATTTGATATGAAGCATCCCCAAGTTGCGCAGTTTGAAATTGTACTTTTCAGATGCAAATCACCTTTTCCACCCAACCCCAAAGGTTATAGACATTCTGACCTCCCACTCATGAAAAATTTTACAGAGACTTGTGCAAAAAAATCCAAGGGGAAAAAGTTTCTGAGAACTAAACCACCCCATCTGGCACCAAAAATCTTTCCCACTTTCTTCCCCCATTCTGATTTCATCTGAAACCAACAAACCTCTTACCATTTCAAAATGCTTTTGGCACTGGGGTTCTGACACATGATTGGCTGTTTAGATATTGCATTAACAATTTTATAGGTTCCCAACAAAGTGGCGACAGAGTGTATTTTTTTTAAAATGAACACATACAACTGTATTTTTCCCGGGTAAAAAAAATATTAAAGTGCCCTTCAAACAATCTTAACTCTCACAAGAATACCATAAAGTTATCATGAGTAAAAAAATATCAAATTAAAAAATCTTAAAATAAATGACGAAAACAACATTTTTTTTTATTTATTATCACACCGGCCGATTCCCACCAAGGCGGGTTCCGAAAAAAAAAACTTTCCCATCATTTACTCCATCACTGTTTGCCAGAAGGTCTTTACACTACAGTTTTTAAACTGCAACATTAACACCCTCCTTCAGAGTGAGGGGACTGTACCCCCTTTTCTCCAGGACCAAGTCCGGCCTGGGGTTTTTCCCTAAACCCCTCTAAATTTTATTTGCTCACACTCCAAACACACGTCAAGTATTAAAAAAACCATTTGTCTCCATTCACCCCTACAAACACGCCCCCGCATCCCTGCTGGAAGTCCAACCCCTCGCCCCAAAAAAAACCTCCTTTACCCCCCTCCCCCCAACCCTTTCCCGGGCCGACCCCTACCCCCCCTTTCCCTTCCACTACAGACGATACACTCTTAAAGTCTTTCTGTTCGCTCCTTTCTCTCTACATTCCGAACCACCTAAACAACCCTTCCCCTCACCCCCGGGACAACAGTTTGGTAACCCCGCACCTCCCCTAATTTCCCAAACTACGAATTCCCTCGCATTATATTCACACCACACATTGCCCTCAGACATGACATCCCCACGCCTCCACCCTTTCCTCGCCAACATTCATCCCCCACGCTTCACCCCCCATACAAGAGCTTTGGGAAAACTTACTCTCATACTTCCCCTCTTTGCCCCCAAAGGAAAAAAGTTCTTGTCTCCACAGACCCAAAATGCCCACTCCCCTTTTTTTCCCCCCTCTCAATTCTATATTCCCCTTTTCTAGACCCCACCCGTGAAATCACTCCCAAATTCTGAATCTTTCCCCTCCTCCATACTCCTCTCCCCCAAATCTGATATTCAATCTTTCATCACCAATTTTTTTGTTACCCTAAAAACCCACCTTTCCGTTTTCCCCTTTAATTTTTTTTTTTTGCACACCCTACCAAATTCATCCACCATTCTGAAACTTCTCTTCAGAATCCCCCAAGAGCACAGTGCCCATCAGAAAAGAGCATGTGACAACTCCCATTTTTTGGTGTGATTCTTTATCTTTTAACTCCCGCCTCTTCCCAAAGCCCCTCCCATTTACTTCTTTTACAACCCCTCATAAATTATTAAAACCCGGTGAAATCACACCCCCTGTCTAAGGCCTTTTTTTAGGGAAAAAAAATTTTCCCTCTTTCCTACATATTTAAATTGAGCCCACTATCCCGTAAAAAAAATTTTCACTGTTTTCCCATAACCAACCTCCTACCCATACACTTGCAACATCTGCCACATTGCCCCCCCCTACCCACCCTTCAAAACCCCTTTTTTCCAAACCCATAAATCCACAAAGACCTCTTTAGCCTTATCTAAATATGTTTACTTTTTGTTTCCCCCTGTAAACACCTGGTCCACACACCCCCTACCTTTCCTAAAGCCCCCTTGTTCTCTGCTACCTATTCTCCCTCTTACTTTAATTCTTTTAATTATAAAAACTACCATACACTTTTTTCCAGGTACACCAACAGACTTATCCCCCCATTTTTTGCACTCTTTTTATCCCCTTTTTTCCTTTTTTACAAAGGGAAATATGGATGCTCTCTCCAAACCCCAGGCCTTACCCCCTTTTCCCAAAATTTATTAAATAAATTTCACCAACCACTCCAAAACTATATCCCCACCCGCTTTTAAAAATTTCTATCTTTACCCATCATCCCGGGTGCCTTTCCCCCTTTCATTTTACCTATGCCCACAATCCCCCCCACTCACAACTGGCTCTTCCTCGTCCACAAGAGGTTTTTCCTCTTGCCCTATACACAAATCAAAACTTCCCCATCTTCATGAACATTTAACAATTCCTCAAAAAATCCCTCCATCTTCCCCAAACCTCAACTCTCCATTTAATAACTTCCTCTCCTATTTTTAACTGACAAAACCATTTTTTCTCTAGGTTTTTTTTAACTTGTTAACTCACTCCAAAAATTTTTTCTTATTTTCAAAAAAATTTTTGTTGAAAACATCTCACCCACTCTCTCATTTTTCTTTTTCATTTTTTTCACCACTCTCTTAACTTTTTTCCTTTTTTCCATATACTCTTCCCCCCTTTGCATTCACTTCTTTTTTTAAAAAATTCTCTATCAACTTTTTCCCCTTAAACCCTTTACATCATCTTTCCACCAATCCTCCCTTCCCTCCTGCCCCATTTTTCCTGAAACCCACAAACTTTCGAAACACTCTAACACTACTTTTTTAAAACTACCCCATACCTCTTCGCCCCTTTTGCCTATGCTTATTGCCCATCTATCCCCCAATAGCTGTTTATTCTTACCCTAACGCCTCCTTTTTTTAGTTTATAAACCTTCACCTCTCTCTTCCCTGAGCTTCCATTCCCTTGTACCCATCTCCCTTTTTTACTCTCAGTGTAGCAAAACTAAAAGTGATTGATTATCTGTGGCCCCTCTATAAAATTTACATCCGAAGTCTAATCAACAGTCTTTTATCTACCAATACATAATCCACAAACTACTGTCATTTCGCCCCAATCATATCGGTATACTTATTTTCCTCTTTTTCTTAAAATAGTATTACCCCATAACTAAACCCCTTTCTATACAAAATTTAATCAAAGGGCTCCCATTTTCATTTACACCTGGGACCCCAAACTTACCCACACACCTCTCTAAAAGTTTCTCCTACTTAGCATTTAGGCCCCTACCCCCAAATTTCTCTCTCAAGGGGTTTAAAGGCCCTAAATTCACTTAACATCTCCCAAAAACCTCTCTCCTCTGCATTCCCTTCTTCTCCAGGGGCATACACCTTATTATGACCCCTTTCGCATCCAACCTTTACTTTTTATCCACATAATTTTTTGAATTTTTCACTTCATATTCTCTTTTCTCCTTCCAAAACGATCATTTAAAAATTCAGCTCCCCTTTCCTTTGCTCTAACTCTCTCAATACTCCAATTTAATCCCATTTATTCCCCCCCACGAAAACCTCCTCCCCCCTTCAGCTTTTTTTCGCTTAGGCCAGCCACCCAACTTTTTTTCATTCATAACATCAGAAATCATTGTTTCTTGTCCCCGCACTACATCCACGCACATTTAAGCAACCCATTTTTAAAAAGTTTTTCCTTTTTTTCTTTTTTAGTAATTGTAAACCCCGGGGAAAAAGGGGTTTTACTCCCCATTGCCCCCGGGGCTTTTTTAGTCGCCTCATACAACCAGGCTTACGGAGGAAAGATTCTTTTCCATTCCCCCATGGACAATAGAAGAAATAAAAAAAAACAAAGCTTTTTAAAAAAAGGAAAAAAAACCTGAGTTTTGTATATATATATTGCAGTGCGTGTCGTGAAGTGTGCCAAAGTGTAAAGGAGTAGCAAGATTCCTGTTTAGGGTTTAGAGACAGAAAAAAAACCACAAATCCTACCATCATAAAACATTACAGGTTTTTGTTTCACAGTCATCTGCGGGGTAGTATTCCCTGGGTTTTTGGCTTCTACCAACCATACATGACTATAAAAATTTGTTGGCTTTCCAATGTATTTTGAAGCAAGTTTTCCACTGCATAAATAGAGAAATATACAGTGGCCCCTAAATAATCGTCCAAAATTTTCCCGGGAAAGGGGGGACAATTATCGAAATAGACGATTTTCAAATCAATTTCCCCATAAGAAAAATGTAATGAATTTAATCTGTTCTAAACCCCCCAAAGTATTAAAAAAAAATATTTTTTACATGAAATTAGATGTATCATAAACAATACGTGACCCATGAGAATTTAAACTTAAAAAATAAAACCCTTCCTTTATTGGCGATTTTTCTTTGTGTATGGAAGACGGAGGGAAAAACAGATTGGGGAATTTACTGTTTTTGGAAAGGGGGAAACCCCTTCCCTAACACCCGGGTACCAAATTGCTTTTTTTGGGGTTTCTTCTCTTCTTGTTTCTAATGCCCCAGGACCACCTTGAAGTCACTGGAGTCCTGTCTTTTCCCAAAAAAAAGTCCGAGGCTCTGTTTCTGGCGTCTCTTTTTAAAATTCCCTAAAAAGGGCCCAAAACCCTTTTCACTGTACAAGTTCCGTATGGCTTGCAACATCCCTTTACATTTCAAAAAAATCCTTAATTTCTAAGAAGGCACCTTCTTCATCTCTCTTCCTCCTCCTCTGCAGCAAAATTCTGAGCTGCGATTGTTTTCTCTTCCGCTGAAACTCTTGCGTCCCCTGGTTAGCTCTTCGTTTTGGGCCTCCACCAACTCTTCCACATCCTCCAAACTCACATCCAACCCCATGCAACTCCCCAGTGCGACAATAGAGTTCACAACTGACATAGGCTCATCATGGGCTGCCTCAAACCCTTCAAAATTCCTCTTGTGGACACAATCTGGCCACAATTTTCTCCAAGCAGAGTTCAAAGTCCTGGTAGTCACTCCCTCCCAAGACTTACCTATAAGGCTTATGTAATGGAGAATACTGAAGTGTTCTTTCCAAAAATCTCTTAGGGTCAAGTGAGTGTCTGAGGTCACATTAAAGCACCTTTCAAACATTGCTTTGGTGTAGTTTTTTTTAAGTTTGAAATGACTTGCTGGTCCATGGGCCGGAGGAGAGGCGTGGTATTCGGGGGCAAGAACTTTACTGTGATGAACCTAAACTCCTTCAGAATTAGGTCATCCAAGCTTGGAGGATGAGCAGGTGCATTGTCCATTACTAGGAGGCACTTAAGATCCAATTTCTTTTCCAGGAGGTAATTCTTCACACTAGGGCCAAACACTTCATTGAACCACTCTACGAAAATGTCCCTTGTGACCCATGCCTTACTATTAGATCTCCAAAACACACACAATTTACTCTTCATAACATTGTTTTTCTTGAACACTCTGGGATTTTCAGAATGGTACACTAGTAACGGCTTCACTTTGAAATCCCCACTAGCATTAGCACAGAACATTAGCGTCAGCCTGTCTTTCATAGGCTTGTGTCCTGGCAGTGCCTTTTCTTCCCGAGTAATGTAGGTCCTCTTTGGCATTTTCTTCCAAAAGAGGCCTGTTTCGTCACAATTGAACATTTGTTCAGGTTTCAGTCCTTCAGTCTCTATGTACTCCTTGAATTCCTGCTAGTAACCCCTTCTCCCATATAAATTACTAAATTCAAAAGAGAAACTTGCGTTTTTCTTTTTGGGCCACCCTGCCTTGGTGGGATACAGCCAGTGTGTTGAAAGAAAGAAAGATTTTTCAGCCGCTTTGTTGTCAGAACTGGCAGCCTCACCATGCCTTACCACACTGTGTATGCCAGTACGCTTCTTACATCTCTCAAACCAGCCTTTGCTGGCCTTAAATTCACTCACATCACCACTAGTTGCAGGCAATTTCTTTACCAAATCGTCATGCAACTGCCTAGCCTTTTCACAAATAGCGACGTCATAAGACTATCTCCTGCTAATTGTTTCTCGTTTATCCACACCAATAATAACTTCTCAACATCTTCAAGTACTGGTGATCTCATTTTTGTCAGCATATTTACCCCTTTGCTATGATGGAAGATATGGTTGTACGGGATTTGTTATACATCCTGGCCAGTTTGCCCACATGTACGCCACTATCATACTGTTCAATGATGTTTTTCTTAAATTCAATCGTATTTGTCACCTTCTTTACCAAAGTCTTGGCACTAGAAGCTTTCTTTGGAGCCATGGTAGCTTATTTAGCACTTGCAAGCACTAAAATCAATGGAATATTATGAAATATTTTATTGGAGCAAATGAGGGGACCGTCGCTCACTGGTAAACAATGGCACACTGGCTGGGAAGGGAAGGCCCAGGCGGCTCAGAGCGTGAGTACGCGTCCCGGACGAAGGACTATTAGCGAGTTAACGGACCATTTGCGAGCCAATGTTTAGACGAAATAACAGGACTATTTCTGAAATATACGACTTTCAGGCCGGACGATTATTGAGGGACCACTGTACTGATAAATTGATCTATTGAAGTAAGAAGGAGCATGTATTGAGTATATGTACTTTTAGAATCAAGGTATCGCATTTGAGATGGAAGAAAATCTCAGCACTATTATACGTATAGAATGGCAAAGGAAACATATACAACATTCTGAGAATTTACATATAGTCTGATTAAACGATGCAGAATGTCAGTTACCAATGTGCATCACTGTTATTTATGGCGGAATATAAAAGTAAAAGATCTAAAACTATCAACGAACTCTGGAATTAACCCATTCAATACGGCAGGAATAAAATCCAAAATCACACCCTGTGCAGTATGTTTTGAAAAAATTGAACTTCAATATCACTGGGAAAGAAAATGCAGCAAGTTTTCTAAATGCAAACAGATAAATAATAACATTAACTAACTTTACATATGTGTTAGGAGTCATGAAACTTGAAGTTATAGGGCAGTACCCACTGCACTGCATGTGCTGTTCCTCTCTTAACACAGTACCATACACACAAACACAAAAAATGAAAACCAGGAAGACAGTAGACTAACGTTTCTATAAAGATTTTTATATAAAAACAGATGGGGTAATATTAGAGCTAAATATGATACTGTACTGTACTACTGTATGAGTCTTAAAATAACTGAAACAATAAAATCTAAACATGGTAGCACTTGAAGTAAACTACACAGTATGGAGATGGGACAGACAGAAAAAATGAAGTAGATTATTAAAGTACAAGCAATGCAAATTTAATTTCAAAAGACAAATAATATTGAAACTTTAGAGTAAAACTCTAAAACCAGGTCAAAACTTCCTTAAGTGTCAATACAAACAACCCACCATTTAACACATGGATAGGAAGAACACTTTGACAAGGTAAATGAGGAACTTCATAACATAGCAAAGGTTAGGTAAGGTTTGTCAGGAAACAGATCAAGTGTTTCCTGACGTGGGTCTTAGTCAGATGATGACCTGTCGTTGGAGCTTTTGGTCACCTGACAGAGGCCTTCCACTGGCTTACCAGTCCACATACCAAAGGAGTTATTAGATACCATGTGCAAGTGAGAATAATTACAATCTGGGAATTTATGTGAAAAAAAAATCTTAAAAGCTTCAATTGCCTATGAGACCAGACTGTCAATCAAAGTTGGTCAACCTAACTGGATGACTTATGTCAGTATGGTCCAGTGGTTAGCACACTGGCCTGCATGTTTTAGACTCACTTGCCATGGGTTCAAGCCTCACTCATTCTGTGATTTGATTTCTTCAATACAATAATTTTTTATTTATCACTGCATTAAAGAAGTGATTCAAGTTAATGTACCATCCAGGGAGCTAATACTGTCCTCTCATATGGACATCAAATGGAAGCTTATTAAACATTTCACACACTGACAGGATTACTGGCTATTTCTTTTTCTCATGAATATGCAAGATGACATAAATCTTATAAACTTTGACTTATATTCAATATACACATATAGTTTCATTACTTATTTCAGTAATATTTCCTATCTAATTGTGGAGGCCCAGTATGAGACCAGTACTGATATGGTTAAAGGATTACATGAATGATATGGAACAGAGTTGCAGTAAGGATTGAAGAATGGAGTCACCACAATGATCAGTGTTGAACCTCATAACATTCCTACCAAAAGGAATAAACTCCTTAGTTTTCAAAAGATAACAAAATGAAAAGAAAAATACAAATTAAAAAAAGATGGAAGGCTGCTGGGAGAACTGGACAGACTTGGGGAATGGTTAAAAAATTATTGCTGAAGTTGAACCTAATATAAGAATGACATTCAGGAACCTAGAAAAAGTTAAACAGTATTCAAAATATTTTTATCTCATGTGCGTGATATATTTGTGAGTATGCAGCAACATTGTGGAATCCTCACCTAGTCAAGACACAGTGAACCACAAGAAATTTCAAAGGGGCACATCCTGACTGGTGCTGAGTTGGGAAAATTAATTATGAAGAAAGCCTCCCGTTTCTGGAAGAACATGACCCGATATAATCACGACAAAAAATACCATGGGGAATGGATTGGGTGGACAATAATAGGCTTTATGCAAGAGAAGAATTTAGAAAAAGAGGGTGTGGATGGAAAGTCCATACGAGTCACAAGGATACAAAAAGGGGGAAAGAACTGAATGACACAGTGAGAGTGAACTCCACACAGGACTTTGAAAGCAGATATAACCAAGCTATTCCTCATCAGTCAGTCTAAAGTTAAAAAGACCAGCATAAGAGCTGGAGCATACCTCCACAAACTCACACAGGTAGCTGTACAGGAGAAAGCCAATATATTATCAAAACTTCATTTTATGGCGAATATTAATGAAGTGAAAATAGATACTTTTTTTTTTTTAACAAGTCGGCTGTCTCCCACCGAAACAGGGTGACCCAAAAAGAAAATACTTTCATCATCATTCAACACTTTCACCTCACTCACACATAATCACTGTTTTTGCAGAGGTGCTCAGAATACAACAGCTTAGAAGCATATATGTATAAAGATATACAATCATAAATATACCTATATATTATTATGATTATGTAGAAAATGAAAAGTTTTACCAGCAAGTATTCTTGTTCCCATCCTTTCAGCATAGTCCTTTGAAAACCATACTTTGAGTTCACATTGTGCTGGTATTTCCTGAAATAAATTACAAAAAAAAAAATATAAATTAATATGTATAAAAATACTAACAAAATAATCAGTATTTGAAGTCTACAGGCAGACCTTTAAAGGTACTTACCAAAGTCAATGATAAGAGAGATCTTGAAAGTAAGCACAAATAAACTGAAGTTAAATCTATCTCAAAGAAAACTGTATACTGAATGTAACCTATTTAGGATGAGAATTTGGAAATGCATTTCCACTGACCTAGATACCCAATGAGCTTGGAGAGGCTCTAACAACAACTACTGTGATTTGAGCTCTTACCTACAGTCTGTTTTAAAAGTAATATGACTTGGCCTGTGCTGGAAAGCTAATTTTGTCAGCATGCCACTGTCCAAGTTCAATTAAAATTAAAAAATACCAATTAAAAATTGAGTCCAAAGTAAACAGTGTAGACATTCCTGGCACTAAAACATTTCCTCTGTTCATTAATCCATTCCCAGGCCTCTCCTATATAACACCTGCCTTCCATTTTGAATTTTTAATCACAGAACAAAAGATTTACTCTATTTCTCAGATAATAAAATATAACCAGGAATGATTGGCCATGGTTTATAATGTTCCAATAATTAAATCAAACCCATTAAAAACCCATGAGACAAACTAGGGGTGTAAGAGAGCCTTACCCATTCTCAAATTGCAAGCTACTTCCAGTCCTGAAAGCAATCAAAATCATCTCTTAATTCAGTAGTATGTGTTCCATATTATCAAATAATACCAAGAAACAGACGTCAAAACCATAAAGAGCATCCAAGAAAACACCTCAAAATCACTATTTTAAACCATACACATAGTCAGTGTTGTTTTTCCCATCATGTACTCTGTGCACACTCACTGCACAGACCCATTCTCTCATATCTAGGCCAAAATTTGCCACTCACAGCTTATCTGAGTGCTCTAAGCTCATGACACAGAACTACATCAAGGACATTGGCCTCAATGATGTAGTTCCATGTGATGGTCAGTGAAAGGGTCAACTGTGCTTCACAACCTGCTGGATGCTCAAGCCCCTAAAACTCAAGTCTATTTTACCCCTCCCTCCAACTATTCCTGGAATGACCCCTTACCCTCCTACTTTTCACTCCAGAGTTATACATCCTCTTCCTCTCCATCTTCTCTACATGCCCAGTCCACCTCAAAAACCCCTTCGTAGCCCTCTGAATCATGCCCTTGGTGACTATTATCATTATTAACAAGAAGCAATGAACCTGGGAATGGAATACAGTAATCAGGTTTGATCCAAAGAAAGGAAGGGTACCTCCAATTCCTTGGATGAAGAGCCCTTCATCTGCACCATGGTGCCTGCCTTGAAGAGTAACTCTTCATTAACGCTAAGAAAAAATAAATACAGTATTATAAATAGTGAGAGAAAATTCAAGAGAACGTATCATAAAAATGATACTTTCTCTTGAATTTTTCTCTTGATATAACAGAACAAAAGCCATTATCATAAACTTAAAAATATATACCAAACACGATGGATAAAAACATAAATGCAGTATAATGCAATCCTTTATTTTATCCCACTCAAGTGCAGGTCATAGTATGGGATGATAGTGTGGCAGACCCACTGATACAAGCTAGGCAGATTCTTTTTAAATCAAACATCTTCTCGGCAATATATTTGTCCAACCTGTCATTAATCTATCCAAGAAGTCAGTTTCAACATACTTACCTGACTCTTCATGTCACTACACTTGCTCTATAAGTATATGTGCATTCTCTCTCTCTCTCTACCCCATCCCCATGCAGATCTGTTTGTGAATTAATAAAGCCCACAGTGTGGGTGAAACATTGTCAATAAAGGAATGTATTATACTGCATTTGTGTCTTGACAATGTTTTACGTAATACACAATATGAAAATAGTACAGTAGAACCTCAGTACTCAAATGTAAGTCATTCCAGAAGGCTGTTTGAGTGTCGATCCATTCGAGTATCGAACAAATTCTTTACAGTTAATTTTTCTTTTTGGTTGGTTGGTTATCACTAATCTTCGTAGGCCCCATGGTAACTTATTTATATAAATAATATAAAAAACACCAAACAATGCTATGAAACACGAAATAGTTTACAGTTAAGTTCTGGCAGGTCATGTTTGTTTGGTTGACTGTTGAGCTTTGTTTGAGTAGGGAGTTGTTTGCGTACCAAGGTTTCACTGTAATGAGATAGATAACAATGATTTACACTTACTTTAATAGTTGCAAAATATATTTCTCCTTTGTACTGGAATGCCACCAAATTCTGTTCAGTCTTTCTCGTTGCAGGTCGCACAAAAATCATCCAGTTGCTGCGCTCTTCTTGTTGTGTATCAAGAAGTAAGTAGTCCCCTTCCTCTTGTGTTATCTTGAAAACAATGCCAAACCTGTATAACAAAAAATTCATCTATGACCTAAGCTAGCTAATAATAAATCAATGAATATTATTATGTTGCTATGAATTCAAATTAAATAAAAAGCTGAGAGCAAAAAATTATTAATATCTGTTTTATAATATTCCTAAATGTAAATTAAGTCCAAAATGTAGCTTTTATAAAAAAAAAAGTCAAAATTCTATGCAAAAATATATTAACCTTCCTAAAATAATCTAAAGCTGAATAGCTAAACACACACAAAACAGTTATTTATCTTAAATTTGAAAATTATAAAAATAAAAATACAGTAATAAGAATAAATTGAAACCAAGAGTGGAAAAAATTGACTTCATAAGAGATGTCAAGTGTGTTCATAGTGAATGTGTTAGAGGAATGACAAGCAGCTGGCACACCGGAGAGCTATGAACTGTGCATAAAGTGAAATGATGAATAGAGATAAGTCTGTAATGAATCAGTTCAATAAGGTGAATAATTCAGATAGGGAGGTTTCCAGTTATACTGTCACTCTGTACAATAATTAAAAAATCTTTTACTCTTGTTAGGAAACCTGGCATACCTGTTGCTATTTGATAAAAACAAAATATAACTGAGATAAAAATGGCATGATAACATATATACTGCACTTATCACCACTTGTACTTCTATTAACCTTTATATACTAGGGATCAGTGAATAATAATAACACTGAATAATAAGAATGCATTCATATCAGTAATTTTTAATACCAAGTGTAAATCTCTTGGGAATAGACATGAAAGACTCCTTAGAGCCAGGAAACACTTCCACAGTATGTATTTATTTGTAATGATACACTCAAGTCAAGTGGACCAGTCAGCACGAGAGGTGATGGAGAGGCTTCCTCCATCCACTAAGCATGAACTACACACACTATCTAAAATACCATCTAATGTTAAGAAAGAATTAAGAATTATTATTATTAATGAAAGGAAGATGGATGTCTTAGCACTGAGTGATGCAAAGTTAAAAGTAGTGGAAGAGCTTGAATGGAAAGTATTGTTATTACTATTATTCTTTCTTTCTTTCAACACTCTGGCCGTATCCCACCAAGGCGGGGTGGCCCAAAAGGAAAAAACGAAAGTTTCTCCTTTTACATTTAGTAATATATACAGGAGAAGGGGTTACTAGCCCCTTGCTCCTGGCATTTTAGTTGCCTTTTACAACACGCATGGCTTACGGAGGAAGAATTCTGTTCCACTTCCCCATGGAGATAAGAGGAAATAAACAAGAACATGAACTAGAAAGAAAACAGGAGAAAACCCAGAGGGGTGTATATATATATATATGCTTGTACATGTATGTTATTTTCATATAGTCGGACTTGAGTCCTGGAAATGGGAAGTACAATGCCTGCACTTTAAAGGAGGGGTTTGGGATATTGGCAGTTTGGAGGGATATGTTGTGTATCTTTATATGTGTATGCTTCTAAACTGCTGTATTCTGAGCACCTCTGCAAAAACAGTGATAATGTGTGAGTGTGGTGAAAGTGTTGAATGATGATGAAAGTATTTTCTTTTTGGGGATTTTCTTTCTTTTTTGGGTCACCCTGCCTCGGTGGGAGACGGCTGACTTGTTGGAAGAAAAAAAAAAAAAAAAAAAAAAACATGTATGTGTTGTGTGACCTAAGTGTGAGTAGAAGTAGCAAGACATACCTGAAACCTTGCATGTTTATGAGACAGAAAAAAAGACACCAGCAATCTTACCATGATGATAAAGCAATTCAGGATCTTCATTTTTCACCTCACTTGGTGGACGGTAGACCCTGGTGGTTGCAGTAAAACAACCATACATTAATTCTTCTTTAACCTAAGCGTATCATGAGGTAGGGTGCCCAAGAAAAACTGAAGTTCTCCTTTAATTTAGTAATATATACAGAGAAGGGGTTATACCATTGCTCCGGCATTTTAGTCGCCTCTTACGACACGCATGGCTTACAGAGGAAGAATTCTATTCCACTTCCCCATGGAGATAAGAGGAAATAAACAAGAACAAGAATTAGAAAGAAAATAGAAGAAAACCCAGAGGGGTGTGTATATATATGCTTGTACATGTATGTGTAGTGTGACCTAAGTGTAAGTAGAAGTAGCAAGACTTACCTGTAATCTTGCATATTTATGAGACAGACAAAAGACACCAGCAATCCTACCATCATGTAAAACAATTACAGGCTTTCGTTTTACACTCACTTGGCAGGACGGTAGTACCTCCCTGGGCGGTTGCTGTCTACCAACCTACTACCTTAATATTATTATTATTATTATTATTATTATTATTATTATTATTATTATTATTATTACTACTACTACTACTACTATTACTTTTATTACTATATTTATAAATCCTAAAACCATATGCATCCTGCAGAAGAGAAAAATAAAGTTAGGTGTACATAAGAGGAGAGCTAAAGGAGTAATTGTAATGCTGAATAAAGAATTGTGGAACGAAAAGAGGTGGCATAAATATTTAAATTCAACAATAAAGATTAGATAGGTTTTTGATTCTTATGACCAGAGTTTTTGGTAAGATGGGTAAGGAAGAAGGATGGGTAAGGATAGAAATATTGGAAAAGGGTGGGAGGGGGGAGTGAGGTAGGATATAAAAGGTAAGTGGCCCAACCACTTTGGTGCAATTTAAAAAGTTTATGTGAAATAATAGAATATTCTTGAAGGGGTATAATACTAACTGATCAGAGTCACATAGATATAACAGATACATAGGTACATGACTCTGAATTGGTAGTATATATACAAGTTGCAATTGCTTTTTTTTTGTGATTACATAACGAATATTTAAACGACAAGACAAGGCGGTAATCTGGACAGTTCGTAAAGAATTACTTGACACGTTAGCTTCTTAAAAGGTGGTGTCCTGCCATAGTAAATGTAGCATATTTATAACAGTAGATGTAGAAGTAGAAGTGTTATACAAAATGTCTCCCTAATTGGGGGCAAAAATTTTCTGAGTAGACATAGAAGGGTTCTGGTGTTACCCAATCATCTTCATCTGCAGGGAGGTTGCTCAAGATCATTGGTCGATGGTAATCGTCTTTATGGATGAAGTGACGCACCCTCTGTGGGAGAGTCATTCTTTAGGTCCTGTGAGGAGGAGTCTTAATGATATAGTCAATGGTATTTTCAACTTGGAGAGGATGTTCTCTATTTGGTATGTAGAGTTCTTGCATTGCATAGAGTTGTCTCTTCTTCAGAGTATCAAGGCATACATTTAAGGCAGTAATATCCTGTTGTAAAGGTAAATCTGCCATTTTGACTCTGTCTCTCCTCCTGGTACCCGTAATAAAGCGGAGAGCTCTATTCTGGACCCGTTGCAACTTCAACATGTTGGACTTTGTTGTTAACGACATTGGGACACATGGGTATTCGAGTATAGGTCTTATCATCATTTTATACAGATGTTTTTTGACATGTGAAGGGGCTTGATTAAATCTAAAGAGACTGCTAAGACCGGCTTTGGCTATGTTGATCTTTTTATTGACGTGAGATGTTGAGTGGAGCAGCCTGTCTATTTCATATCCCAAGATCTTGTTAGGATTTCTAATGGCTACAGGTGTACCTCTGATGGAGATACCCCCCTTATCTTCGATGGTTGATGCAAAACATCCTATCATGCTAACCAGGACTTTGTCAGGGTTAGTCGTAATTCTCCATTTCTTTTCCCAACTGAATGTTCGACGAAGTTCAATATTCATTTTTTCTATGACTCTTTCATATTTGTATTTTCCTGTTACAGGAGTTGACAAGACGACATGGATAACCTCATCTGCAAATTGTGTTATAATTGTATCATTAAACTCTGGTTGAGGAAGATCATTCACATAAATGTTGAATAGAATTGGACTAAGACAAGAACCTTGTGGGACACCAGCTGTTGGTATAAAAGGCTCTGTTGACTTGCCATGAAAGGTAGGAATGATTTTTCTTTGAGTTAAGAAGTTATATATAAATCTGAGAAATGTCCAGTTATGGTCAGGTAGGTCAATAAGTTTGTATATAAGACCATCATGCCATAAGCTATCAAAAGCTTTATGAACATCTCTGGTGGCAGTTAGGGCAAGATTGCCCTGATGTTTCAGACTCGCTACAGTATCAAAAACAATATTTATTGCATGATGGGTACCTCTATGTGTCCTAAAGCCAAACTGTTTTTCAGTAAAAAGGTGGTTAAACTCCATATAGTAGTTCATTCTGTTGGAAATGATCTTTTCAAGAACTTTCCCAGTGACTTCAAGTAAGGATACAGGTCTATAGTTTTCTGGTTGATGGATGTTTTTATTGGGTTTAGCAAGAAAGATCATCCTAGCAGTCTTAAAAACCACTGGGAAATGTCCGGAGGCCAAGATGGCATTAAAGATATTAACTAAAGACTGTTTACAATTTCTGGGTAGAAACTTTATTTGTTTCATTGTTATTCCAGAGAGACCAGGGGCTCTATTTCGCATTCTTCCAATAACTTGACTCATCTCAAGTAGTGTGATAGGTCTAGTAAGCAGGTGTGCCTCTTCAAGAGTTGATGTATCGATGGTAGGTAGTGGTTGTAGATCAGCTAAGTTCTCATCTCTCCATTCATTGACCAACTGATAGTGATTATTATTAAATTGACGACTGTTATTGTGGGAGAGAATTTTCTCCCTTACATCACCCATCAAATTAGCCTGGTCCTGTGGATCATCAAGTTTAATCTCAACCTCTTCATCATCATCAGTGAAGGTATGAATTAGGTAGGTAGGAGCCTTGTGTTTTGCACCTAAAAGTTGCCGAATCTTACTCCAAAATTTTGCAGGCTCTCGTTTATACTGATTAGCTTTTAGAACTAGCAATTTCCATAAGTCACGTTTATGATGACTAATCATGTTAATTAATTCTTGCCTCAATCTATACAATGTAGCTACTGGTGGTTGCCGCGTTTGAAGATGCCTTCGACATTCTGTTTGATAATTTCTCATACTGTCTCTAATTTCTCTCGTAGGTTTATATTGCTGGTAGATCTTTGTGGAAGCTAATTGGTAAGTTGCATTAGTAGCATGAATTATTCGATTGTGAAGGGACCTGATCGCGTCTTCAATTGCAGTGGAAGGTAGATTTTCCAATGACACAATTTCATCTTCACCCAGAAATGCCCTGAAGGGGTCAAATCTTAGGGTGTTGAGGTTGGGTTTAGGAGATACAGGTATTCTAAATGGAGAAGTTTGTAGTTGTATTATAACAGGGATATGGTCAGATCCTACATTTCCACCAGGAGAGATCGACAATGAAAGAAGGTCACAGTCTCTGTTTGTCAGGACTATATCTGGTGTCCCTGGATGAGGACCAATATACGATTTAAAGAATGGGCCTTGAAATGACAAGTTTCTGGCTGTCATGATATTAAATAGCTGTTTTCCTTTCAAGTCACCCAGTGGATTACCAGCTCCACAGTTAAAGAGGGCAGGGTGATGAGCATTAAAATCTCCCGCTAGAATTGTTGGAATATTTCTGCTTAATATCCTATGTAGAGGAATTGACTCTATATATGGTTGTCTCAGGGGGAAAATATCCAGTTCCTATCAATAGTTGGCCATGAGACGTCTTCAGTTCGATTGCAAGAATGTTATCTTCATCAACATGAATATTTCTAAATGCATAGCCTAATTTAACTAATTTAATGTGTTGATCAACTCCCGCAGCTGTCTCATTCAAGAGTATAACATCAGGATTGTAATTATGTAGTTCAACTTCAAGAAGGTAATGGTTGTTAAAGAAATGTTGAACATTAAGTTGGAAAATTGTAATCCCCATTATTTCTTGCACTTCGCACGTGTACTGCAGTCTGAACCTCTGCAAGTAAATTTATGTTTGGTATCCACACTATTCCTGCTGGACTCGTCAAGGGGAGGAGGGAAATTCTGAGTAGTTGCTTGTGTACTAAAAGTGTCACTATCCTCACTAGAGTTGGTAATATTAACAGAATCATTAGAGTCATCATCAGAAAACTGAGGTGTAATATTCCCAGTTTCAGGAAGCAGAGGCTCATGAGAGTTAATAAGAGACTGTGGAGGCTCCAAGGGAAAATTTGGTAGGCCAGGTCTAGAGTTGAGAAATGACCAAGTAACTGGGTGGGTGGGTTTGAGTGGTTGAATGGGTGAACAAGTGATTCTAAATGCCAATGAATTTTGAGGAAATTTTGAGCCAAACAAGAGAATAATTGTTTAAAATTGAAGTACCAGAGGTAAATAATACTGACTGTATTAGCAGATAATACACTTCTAGATATACGTATTTTTATAGGTGTGACTCTTTCTTTAGTTCCTGGTGTTTCTCAACTCTCAACCAACTAGCATTATCATATAGGTTTTTGAACCTCTATATTGGAGTTCAGTGAAAATGAACACTCTATAGACACAGTGGAATTGTTTTTGTTCAGTTCAATCTATTTCGTTATTATTCTTTGATTAAGTATTTTTTTCTGACATCCCTGTGGCATATTTGACCATGACCCCATGCTCTTGTTACATCCCTTGTCTATCCTGTTTATGACCTTGAATATTTTGAATATCGTGATCATATCCCCTTGTGTTTTTTCCTCCCAAGTGACATGAAACCTAGTTCTTGCATTCTGCCTTCACAGCTCTTTCCACCTCGACTCAGGTTCCAGTTTTAATACACTCCTTTACACTTTTTTGAGTTTCACTTAGCATTTTATTAGATGAAGATTCCAATATGGCTCTGCATACATTAAAAAAGGTCACAAATGAGGTAAAGTGTTTTCATTTAGTCTTTCTTTAAGTTTCAGAATGCTACTTTTGCAGTGCATGTTTTTAGTTTAAAACAGCGACTTTGCAGGGTATTTTCGTATGGTATTTATGGTTGTATTCGTGTTTTCTTGGTCTCACTCGATAGAATGGAAGATGTTTTACAGAAATAGAGATGATTTTGATTAATATCACGATGAAAAATACCTTGAAATTGAGCTCAAAATAGCAAAAATGTTCGATTTTTGCCGATGTTCAAAAGTAAACAAATGACATTACCATCCAATATGTGTCCAACTGGGCAGTCTAATACATAGTCACGAAAGAGTTGACATTATTTATACAATTATTACAATAATGCAGCAGTCTGCATTGTTTAATCCAGACCCTGTTTTGAAATTGGCCAAACTGCCAATTTCTGGAGTTCTAGTGAAATAGCTATGAGTTTGGTCAACTGGAACAATGGAATTGGCCTAAAATAGGGCTCAAAGTGGGCAAAATCGCCAATGTGTAAATATCTCTGAGACCGCTAACTTTGCGAGAGTGTAATTCCCTAAGTTTTCCATCAAATTTCATACTTTTGGTGTAATTACCAACGGAAAAGATTCTCTATCATTTCCTAAGAAAAAAATGTTTTTTTTTTTTAATTCTTTGACACTGAGAGCAAGGGTCTCGACAGTGAAAGGGTTAAAAATGTATGAATAGATTATGGAAGACCCAAATAGTTGCTATGAAGTAAAAAATATTGACAGGCAGCATATCTGAAGAAATGAAAAATTGTGCATACTAGTACATTGGACATATAGTTGTCAGTTGCATGCTTGTATGTTGGACACAGTTGAAAGGTTAAGAAAGGATAAGGGACAATAGGTTGATGATGACTAGGGATGGAATACCAAAGTTTTTGACAATACCAGTGCAAAATACTAAGTTTTAGACCAATACCATCAAAATTAGATAACCAACAATCCTGGCACCAGTACCTATACCAATACCATCAAAATTAGTCTGTGCCCACTGATACTAATATTTTGGCACACCCCTAATAAGGACTGCATAAATAAGATGAATGAAAAGTAAGTGTAGAGGATTTGTGAGGAAGGGGTGGAAAACATGCAAGGTAAAGTTTCAAGTGTCCAGCAAGCCTCTATGAGCATGTTTGATCAAAATGCATGAAAACAAGCACTTTTTTTTTTTAGATCTGATGTGCTGTTGGCTTGTGAACATGGCAATATCCACAAAGAAATTCAGGGGATATTGATAAGCCAGAATTAAGTTTTCTGAAATTTGGGCAGGGCTATTAGGTTAGTGTGTCAATGAATTACGATGTAATCTACACTTCTGTAAAGACCGCTATGAAGTGAGCGATGGTGAATTTGGTTTCCTTCTTCAGGTCACCCTGTCTTGGCAAAAGACAGACAATGTGCACAAAAAATTGAAAGTAACAACACACCTCTATTCCACCACACAGAGCTGGGATTGAAAGTTAGAAAACAGGAAAAACACACTTAACGAAAAAAATGAACTCACCTCTCTGTGATTTCTTCTTCAATAGCTGTCTGTTGGGTGCCAGCAAGTACCCTCTCAGCTTGCAGAGGACCAAACTGCAATCTTTTATGCAGCACCTCCCTTGCATACACACCTGGTAAAATATTTGTACATAAACTCACTGCATCATATTCCATAAAATTAAGCAACAGTTAGAGAAAAAATCACATCCCTTAACCCTCTCAGGGTCGAGATCTCTGATCTTAAGCTTGCTCTCAGTGTCAAAGAATTTAAAAAAAATTATTTTTCCTACGAAATAATCTTTTTCTGAAGGTAATGAAACCAAAAGTACGAAATTTGATGAAAAATTTATAGAATTACACTCTCACAAACTTTGTGGCCTCAGCAATATTTACACATCAACGATTCTGCCTACCTTGAGCCCCATTTTTGGCCAATTCCATTGTTCCAGTCAACCAAACTCATTCTTATTTCACTAGTATTCCTTCTATTCTACTGAGTACAAGAACCCACCCATTTACCTATTTCAACTATCCAATAAAATTATCAGAAATTGGTAATTTGGCCAAGTTCATACAAAATTAAAAAATTGCCAATTTAAAAATAGGATCCAGAATCAACAATGTAGACATTCCTAGCACTAAAAAAACATTTCCTATGTTCATTAGTTATGTCCCCATAGTTATGTCCATTTTGAATTTTTATTCACACAAAAAAATTATTTATTGTTATGCAGACTACTGCATTATTGTAATAATTTTATAAATAATGTCAATGCATTCCTAAATGCTTATTAGACTGGCCAATTGGATGCATATTGGATGAGTGATGTCATTTGTGTACTCTGGAATATTGGCAAAAATTAATATTTCCATTACTTTGAGCTCAATTTCAGCTACTTTCAGTCCTGAAACCAATCAAAATCATCTCTATTCCTGTAATACATCTTCCATTCTATCAAACAAGACCAATAAACCATGAATACAACCATAAAAAACATGAAAATACACCGCAAAGTCACTGTTTTAACCCTTGCAGGGTTTCCGACGTACTAGTACAGCTTACGTGCCAGGGTTACTGACGTACTAGTATGCATAAATTCTAGTGCCTTCAAATCTCATGGGAAAAGGCTGGCAGGCCTAGATGTGAGAGAATGAGTGTGTGGTCAGTGTGCGCGGTAGAAAAAATCTGGGACCCAGTGGCGCATTGTGGGAATGCCATTTTAGTAGACCTTGTTCACCATGCCTCGCGGTAAGAAACTCCTCCCTCCTCGGAGAATTGGGACACTTTTGTTCCCCAGTGACAGTTCTAATACAGATGGAAGTGCCAGTGAAGATGAGTTTCAAGGTTTTGATGAAGTTGTGACCGAAACTAATGACCATAATACCGGTAATAGTGAGGAAAACCCAGACGACCCTCAGCCTTCCACCTCTGCTGCTGGGTCATCTTGTTCACGTTCAGTTGTACCAGAAGCAAAGAGGAAACTCCTATTTTCCCATATCCCAGACTCAGATGTGAGCATTGGTGATGATAGTGATAGTGAATATGAACTAAAAGCTCTTGAAAACACTTCCAGTAGAGACAGTGAAGTGGAATATTCTCCAGTGAAGTGTCAGTATATACAATGATATATGCACTCTGGTAGTGTGCCATATGCTGTTCCAAGGGGAAGGAGTACATCTTGGAGTACATCCCGTGGCTTTACAACAGGAACAGATAGTGAAAATGAAGATGACTGTGTTGCAATTGGGATGGAAAATGTGCATGGGGGTGGTAGTGGTGGTGCCGGCCGTGAGGGACCATCAGTGGGCCATGCTGCCACCCACGCCGCTGCCTCAGCTGATCGACAATAAAGGCCACCATCCCCCACCCACCCACCACACCAGCCTCCACAACCACAACCACAAACTCCACAACCACAACCACCTGTCAATGTCCAGTACCCACCAGCAGACCGCACCTGGGATTGGCAGGAAGCTGTCAATTTTGTACCAAATCTCCACCAGTTCGATGAAAGCCAAAGTGGAATACGGCCATCTTGTACACTGGGGAACAATGCCAGTGAACTGGAATGTTTTGAGTTATTCTTTGAAGAGCCCCTGATGGAAATTATTGTCAGGGAAAGCAACAGATACTTCGATTACACCATGGCAAACACAATACTTTCACCAAAATCACGTCTAAACCAGTGGAAGGAGAAAACTGTGGCTGAGATGTATCTTTTCTTTGCCACAATAATGCTTATGCCACATGTGTATAAGCACACTGTGAAATCATACTGGTCAACAGACCGCCTGATTGCAACCCCAGGTTTCAGTGATATAATGCGAGTGAATCGATCTGTGCTACTATTACACATGCTTCGCCTCTCAGACAAAACCAGACCTGACAGAAATGACAGGTTATATAAGATTAGGAATGTGTTTATGTATCTGAAAGAGAAATTCAATATGTATTTTTATCACTTCAGGAAGCTTGTTATTGACGAGTCTTTGATTCTGTTCAAAGGAAGACTCTCTTTCAAGCAGTACATACCAAGCAAGAGGAAACGCTTTGGTATAAAGTTGTTTGTGCTTTGTGATTACTACAGTGGTCTTGTATTGGATATTATTTTGTACACTGGAAGTTATGAAGATTGAGACACTTATGCAACATATGGGAATCTTTATTCAGGAAACGTTTCACCACACAGTGGCTTCATCAGTCCGATACAGAGTAGAAAGGCGTAAGGAGAGGAGGAGTTTGAGGTAATCAGTCCCTCAGCCTGGAGTCGATGTGTTCAGTCCATCAATCTTGTAGAATGTACAGCATAGGGCCATAGACGTGGCTTATATACTGTAGTGAGGTGAGGCGAAGCAGGAGGAGGTGAGGTCATAGTGGTACCATCCACTAGTCGAAGTAGGTCTTCATCCAAAGGTCGGACAAGTGTTGAAGAATTCTTTGTAACAAGATCCCATGATGCTGCAGTGTCTGACAGTTGTGATGAATGGTTTGAAAAACTGACAAGTTGAAGATTGAGACACTTATGCAACATATGGGAATCTTTATTCAGGAAACGTTTCGCCACACAGTGGCTTCATCAGTCCGATACAAAGCAGAAAGGCGTAAGGAGAGGAGGAGTTTGAGGTAATCAGTCCCTCAGCCTGGAGTCGATGTGTTCAGTCCATCAATCTTGTAGAATGTACAGCATAGGGCCGTAGATGTGGCTTATATACTGTAGTGAGGTGAGGCGAAGCAGGAGGAGGTGGTCATAATGGTACCATCCACTAGTCGAAGTAGGTCTTCGTCCAAAGGTCAGACAAGTGTCGAGAAGTGTCCTTCTGAGTCGCTTGCCAGAAGTCCTGCCCAGTTGCCGAGTTTTGTCGATGCCTCACTCGAGGGCACCAGCATGTCGTGCCCCAGGCCGAGTGAAAACCTGCAGTGACTCCTACGATGTCTGCTTCACCGTTCTAGAGGAGACCGTAACCTGTTACGTCACAGCTCAGCTGCAGCGATGTCTCCTGTGTTGCAGTATCTGTCCAGACGCAGGAAGGCGTGCAGTGATGCCCTTCGACGCTCACTGCCTTTGACCACGATGTTTAGCACACCCCACATGTTTTTTTCTTCCCTCCCTGTAGGAAGTTTTTTTTTTTCCATGTCCATATGTATATACAGTGGACCCCCAGTTAACGATATTTTTTCACTCCAGAAGTATGTTCAGGTGCCAGTACTGACCGAATTTGTTCCCATAAGGAATATTGTGAAGTAGATTAGTCCATTTCAGACCCCCAAACATACACGTACAAACACACTTACATAAATACACTTACATAATTGGTCGCATTCGGAGGTGATCGTTATGCGGGGGTCCACTGTATATGTTTTTCATTTTGTGTTCTATGCCCTGTTCCTACGAGAGAGAGACAGTTTTTTTTTTACCACCAGTATTGTCGCATCGGGACGCGAGGTAGGTGGCCGAGCGTATGTAGACAGCTGTACTGTCTGCACAGACAGCCTATGCTGTCTGCCAGCTTAGTTCATATTTTGCAGCACTAAGGTGCTGCCCTCTGGGCCTGCTCCAGGTCTGTTGGATGCTGAGCCCACACTCTCTCATTCTCTCACAGCGACCTAGCAGCAAGACAGAAGGCCTACTAGTTCTCCCTCTCGTGGGATGGCCCTCCTGGGCCATGGGCACAACACACAAGCCTGTGTACCCACCACGACTTTGCAAATAAAGTAAGAAGCCTCCGAAGATGTTTATAATTCACGCACCCGCTTTCATCGTACGAAATAAATCTCGTTATACACCTGCAATAGAAAACCACCCACTAAATTATCAACAACTACATTCTCGTCTGAAGCATGGTGATCACTTCCTAATAAAACTGCCTGCTACTGCTTTCAAGAAAAAGGCTCAGAAGAGGTGTTACATCTGTGCACATACAAAAAAATGCCCACAACGCAGAGACACTCATTTTATGTGTGAGGAGTGTAAAACACCACTGTGCATGACACCATGTTTCAAAGAGTTGCACAGGCTGCAGAGCTTCTAGAAACATTCCCTGTGACTGTATATGTGTATGTAAAATATAGAAAAATAGTAATAAACAACATTTTATATCGTTTGTGTGTGTAAACAATAATTATGAACAATATAGTGACAACAGGGTTTGTGCAGTTATTGTGTAGTAAATAAAGAGAAAAAACTTACAAAATAGTGCTCATATTGGTCTCACAGGCCATAAAAGTTACTTGAAAAAAAAAAGTAAAAAATAATAGAAAATAACACTAAAAAAAATAAATAAACTAAAACCGGGTGACCGGCAGTCGGCGATGTTACCGTATGCCGTTCATTTTCTGTCAACTTCATGCCTCCATATCTCGGTAAGTATTGATGGTAAAAAATTTTTGTTTAACCTATAGGAAAATTTTTTTTTTCTTTTTTGAAAAATTTTCGACCCTGAGAACAAGTCTGGGAGAGGGCCTGTCAACCCTGAAAAGGTTAAAAAAAAAAAAAAAAATTTCCCCATTATGCACTGCTTGCTGCAGGATTTTTTTTTTTTATATGGTGCACACTTACTGCACATACCCATTCTCTCATCTCTAGGCCCAAAATGACTGCTCACAGCTTATCTGAGTGTGCTGAGCTCATGG